CTTTTATAGTTCAATTCTCTATCGCCTTATATATTATTCGCCTGTTTCTTCATTCGTCAATTCATCTCTTTATCGACTCATTCACCCAATCATTCACCCAATCATTCACCATTCATTCATTCATTCACTTATCCATCCATCCATTTATTCATTTGTTCATTCAAAAGAGAGATTACCTAGTCCGGCAAATGTATAAAACTTAAAAAAAAACTCAATCTCACATACACACACACACAAATACAAACACAAATACAAACACACGCACACACATTCATTCATTCAATTCACCTACATATTCACTCCAATACATACATGTGTGAAGTTACATTTACACAGCCAAAATGAATTGCTCAGAAAAATTTTTAAATAAAACTTTCTACTCCATGCTATACTATTTGATATAATTAATAATTAGTTAATTGAACATAATTTATTCATTTAATTTATTTATAAATTTATTTTCATTTGTATATATCTTTTACACTCATTTGCTTATCTGTATTTATTGGTATATCTCATAGCAACCAATTAATTAATTAATTAATTTAATTAATTAATCTAATTGGTTAATAGATTTTTTTAATTGGTTGAACAAAAAAATAACGAACCCTCTCGAAATTTTTTTTCCATATCAAACCATCCAGAAACCCATCTCTCGCACAATATTCATACGATTATATATATATTTATATATATATATATATACACAACTCACACACACATACATTCACACACACATACACACACACACAGACGAATTGAATAATACGAATAATAATATTAAATTAAATCCATTCATTCATTCACTCATTGAAAAAATACAATATATATATATATTATATATATATATATAATTTCGACATCTTAACCATCATATAAAAAGAAATATATACGGAAAAAGGTTTCAGTAATAATATCTCCATTCATAAATTTCTTGTTAACCATCATCATCACCATCATTGTCACAGTCATCTTCATCACCATCATTGAACATCATCACGATTAATTCATTTAAATGACTAAATGATTGATATCATGTGTGTGTTTGTGTGCGTGCGTGTGTATAGGTAGACAGTTTATTGTCATATCCAGGACGAAGAGATACAGAGGTATATGTATTTACATTACAGTCATCATCGCTTCATCGTCGTCGTCATCATCATCATCGTCTTTATCATCATCAACATTTCAGTGTTAGAGATTGGTTTGGTGCGGTTGTCTGATGCTTTAACTAGATTCTTCTTTCTTTGTTAGTAGCCACATCATCGTCATTAAGTAATCGAGTCTCGTTATATCTCGTTATATGCATCTGATGCCGCACCGTTTCGTTTCGCCTGAAGCAAACATATTATTGCAGCAACAACAAGATGAATCGAAACAAACTGATCCTCGATGCGGTTGTCAAATTGTGGTAGAGTATGCGCATCAGACTTTGGATTAAGAAGAAGTCATCTACCATCTCACAGAAAGTCAAATGCCACAAAATAGCGACCGACGCAACGTTCGCCGCGTTTCTGTGGACAACACAACAACAACAGTTGTATCTGTAGCCGTACCGTTTCGTTTCCCCTGAAGCAAATATATTAACGCCGTTTCGTTTCGTTTTACCGCTTGCAAATCGTAACGAAATGCAGGAGCATGATTTCCAGTTAATACAGCAGTCGTCGTCGGCGTCATTATACTATCATAATTATTATTATTACTATTATTTATTGTTATTATTATTATTATTATCGTTGTTGTTGTTGTTGTCAGAGCGTGGTTAAATTGCGATGGTGACGTCATCTATCCATCCATCCATCCATCCATCCATCCATCCATCCATCCATCTATCTATCTATCTATCTATCTATCTATCTATCTATCTATCTATCTATCTATCTATCTTTGTTGTCGCCGTCTATTTTTCCATTGTTGTTGATGACGATTTTTTTTTTGCTGCTGCTGCAGTTGTTGTTGTTGTCCATTCGTCCCAGCGGCACTCACAACAACTACTGCTACCGCTACTACTACAACGACAATGTTGCTTGTGTCGTAAACGATGATGGTGAAGAAGATGGTGATGAAGATGGTGAAGAAGATGGTGATGAAGATGGTGATGAAGATGGTGAAGAAGATGGTGATGAAGATGGTGAAGAAGATGATGAAGATGGTGGTGAAAATGATAAAGAAGATGATGATAAGCACCATGACGTAGGTGATGACGATGACGACGACAAAGACGTCAGAAACGTCCTTCAGTAGTGTAGAAAATAAATAGATGTAAAAACGAAGTAAGGAGTAAGTGAGATATTGGCATGTTTGTATGTATGTATGTATGTATGTTTGTATGTATGTTTGTATGTATGTTTGTATGTATGTTTGTATGTATGTTTGTATGTATGTTTGTATGTATGTTTGTATGTATGTATGTGTTTGTATGTATGTGTTTGTATGTATGTATGTGTGTTTGTATGTATGTATGTGTTTGTATGTATGTATGTGTTTGTATGTATGTGTTTGTATGTATGTATGTGTGTTTGTATGTATGTATGTGTTTGTATGTATGTATGTGTTTGTATGTATGTGTTTGTATGTATGTAAGAAAGTAAGGCGAAATAAAATACAATACAAAACAGGTTAGTTATTTTTTGTTGATGATTGATGACGACGACGGCGATGTTGTAAGATGATGATGCTGTTGTTGTTGCGAAATTCCTCCTCTGGTCATCTCGAAGTTCCCGGGTTCGACCGCAACTTCGGTCTAGAGTGGTTCGAATAAGCTGCCGACA